GGGGCAGGCGCGCGCCGGCGTCACGATGACGGCACGTCTCTGCTCCTCTTCCTGCAGCTGCTTCTCCTGCGTGCCCTCGATGTGCTGGATCGCCTGCCGAGGGCAACCGCCAGCCGTCAGGACATCGGGTCCCCCCAAAGCCCCTTCCGCCGCCGTCCTCCTCGGTTTCCCCCTTACCTGAACAATGGTGTCCAGGTTTTGCCGGGACGTGGAGACTGTGTTGATGACCGAGGATGGGCCCATGGTGACCACGGTGACGTGATGGGAGGGAGGCGGCGCTGGAACGATCACAGTGGGGTGGTGGGTGGGCGCTGGGGGAGCGTGTGATGGCAGGAGCTGGGGAGAGAAACAAAACCCCTCCGGTCAGCAGGGACCTCGGCACAGTGATGACGGGGAGAGCATCACACTTGTTTGTGAGGCCCAAACTCCTTTGAGAGCCCATAAAAGCTGAAGCAGCAGCTTGGCTGCTCCAGTTCATCCACCGTGGATGGACACAAAAGGATGCCAGCTGAAAGCTGCCATCAGCTTAGCTCTGTCAGAGCGAAACGTGGAGGATTTCCCGTATCCCGAAGGGGAAAAGACTTGGGCTTTTGAGCCAGGAGAGGCAAGTGCCAGCCCTCCCCTCACCTCAACCTACAGAGCTGAGAACCCACTGCACCCCTCAGAGATGCTCTTTAAAACAGCAGATGGGGAGATCTGCCCTAGCAGAGGGCTAAGGACAGTTCACATAAAAATAGGCTGAACTTCCCCAGGAGGTGGCTGGTAAGGATCCTGCGGGGACGCAGCTCCGAGGAAGCTGACAGCGGGAGGAAGTTGGTTTTTCTCCTTCCCTTTGAAGCTCCCCAGGCCAACGTCCCCCTGGGCTGAGCTCGAAGACAGCAGTGAGCAAGGACCGGGTACCAGCCCCATACCTGCCTCCTCTCCGCACCAGACTGGTGTAAGGCTCCCCCCACCGCTGGCAAATCTGACTGAAGGCTCCCGTCCCCACAGTCCTGCCACATCTGCGGAGCAGCGCCACCTGCCACTGCTCCCCTTCCCCAGCCTGGCAGGCAGCAGGGAGCAGTTTGGGGGTCCTCAAAACTCAGCAGGAGTCACTCAGTGAGAGGTGAAAGCCCAGAGATGGAGTTGGCCTCTGTGCCACCACAAACCACCTGCTCTGGCACAGGGAGCATCACCCGCATCAACCATCAGCGGTGGTGCTGTCGTGACTGCTGGCATCACCCGTGGACGGGATGGATGCCCGTTCATCACCTGAGGGTGCGGAGATGCACACAATGGAAGATGGAGCGGGAGCTGCACTGCACCCATGTCTGGTGGGAAGAGCCCAGTGGGGAGGGACACAGAGTTGTGGGGGAAGAGAGTTGGGGATGGCCACATCCAGCAGCTCCCAGCACAGCCTGGGAAAGCCGCAGACTTGCTAGCACCAAGATGAATCCCTGCCCACTGGAAAGCGACCTTCCCTGTACATAGCCCTCTGCCCTGGGGAACGGAGCCACTTGGAATTCACTGTGGCACGGTCCAAGCCACATTTATCCCCTGAAACACGGGGTGCCCACCAGCGCAGTCCCCTGAATACTGGGAGCACCGTGAACCAACTCTGAGGGTGAGAGCTTTACTAGGACACTGCTGTCTGACCCAGCTAGATCACGGGAGGTGCCAAGCACATCACCGAACCACCCCAACTCCCTGTATATCACTGCCTGCATGCCCAGCTGCATCACTCGGGGGGGGTGGGAGGCCTCTGGGGTGTCCCCATGGGTGGGCTATGGCCAGAGCGGGCTGGGGCAGCATCCACACACTCACCTGGGTTCGGATCTGCTGCTCACGCTCGAGCTTCTCCTGGTGCAGCAACCTCACCTGCTCCTGCTGCTGCTGGAGCTGCACTTGCTGGGCGATCACCTTCAGCTTCTCGGGGTACATGTGGGCCTCCAGGGAGCGAACCTGCCAGCCAAGAGATCCCCGACATGTCAGTGAGGATCTCAGCGTGCTCCTGGCACAGCACCCTGTGATCCTCACCAGGCAGAGTCCCCGCAGGGGGGACACAGCAGAGCTGGGGAGCTCGCAGCCAAGCGTGGAGCGGAGGTGGTCAGTGAGGATGACCCATTACATGGCGGCAGCACTGGTGTCCCTGGGGGCTCTGGCATGGCCGTGGCAGAGCCCGCTAGAGGGCGAGCCCGCCCCATGCACACCCCATGTGGCGCCGCACAGGCAGCAGTGCTGCAGCCAGATCTGGCCCTGCATGGCCTCACCTGCTCCTCCAGCATCATGCGGACCGAGCGCTCCTTGTCCAGCTGCTGCCGGAGCTCGATCATCTCCCGCCGCAGATCCTCGGCCTTCTCGTCCTCCCAGATGTCCGGTGAGCCAATCCCCTCGTCTTTGTCCTCTGCCCGTCGCCGCTTCGGGGAGGAGCCACTGAACTCCTGCCACAGGGATGTAGTGTCAGGGGACGAGGACCAGCTCCGATGCTCTCTCCTCCATTCAAACCACATCTGGGTGATGCCACCCCCTTGGCCATTCCTTAATACCGCTCCCTGCAGGGAAGGGGCTCCATGGGGACATGGGGTTGACGTCCAGGGACAGATGGGTTCCTGTGTCCTGCACATCTCGCCCTCCTGGTCCTCACCTCCCCAGCCTTGTGAAAACCTGCTTCTCACATCATGACACCCAGGACAGTTCAACTGGGTCACCCCAGAGCTGGAGCTGCCATTGGGCCATACCCCAATACCCTAGATGGAAAATGGTACCTCAGCCCTTCTCCTCCTGCCAGGGAGAGGATGCTGGGTTGAACATCCTGGTTTAAACATCTCCACTTCAGATGTGAAACTTTCGGGTGTGAATAAACTCTCCACTCCCCAGCTTACTAGGACAGAGGGTCTTACCCTGACCCCAAGGAACAGTGATGACATCCCCTCCCTAGCCACCCGGGGAGTCCTGTCCCCTCCCATCCCATCCCTGGGGCGTGCAGGCAGGCACTACCTGGATGAACCGCTTGAGCTGGGTGTTCTGCTGCAGTAGCCGAGTCTTCTCCTGCTCCAGGGAGAAGATGTATTCGGCCGTCTGCTGGAGGATGGCCGCCTGCGGGAGAGCAGGGAGGGGGACAGTGAGGCAGAAAAGACTCCAGCGTCCCCCCAGGCCCCTCTCCTGCCCAGCTCACTCCCTGCTCACGGACAGCAGCACTGCTCCTTGCCTGGCCCCAGCATCTTCATCCAAGATCTGCTTCAACCCTCGGGTCTCCCCTGGGACTTCCACCACAGTGAAACTCCAGTTAACCCATCTCAGTGGCTGCCAAGTGCCACCTCCTTGCCCTGCTCCCCTCTGTGGCGGGGCCACTCTGTCACCCAGGCACACACCACCCTGTCACCCTGGGCCGTGTGGTGCTGTCACATGCATCCAGTCCACTCCAGGACACCAGGTTTGCAACGCACACCCACTCCCACCAAGGAAAGGTCCCCAGGAGAAACCTCCATCAGTGAATTAACATACGCAAATATCCCCAGTTAGTCTCAAAACCCGTCCTGCCTGACAAGCAACACCAAAAACCTCCACATGCAGGACCAACACCTGCATCCCACATCACTGTGGCCATGGTGCTGTCCCGCTCACCTTGCTGAGCTTCTCCCCATCCGTGTGTGGGATGAGGGTTTTCAGTGACTGGAAGCCAGCATTAATGCTCTGCATCCGCCGTCTCTCGTTGCTGTTGGCGATTTCCCTGCGTATCCGCCGCTCCTGGTCCCGCTGGGTCTCCGGAGTCCCATCCTGTGAGAGAAGCACGGGGTTAGAGAGGAGGGGGCTGCACCCCTGCTGCTGGCTCACCCTGCTGCGTCCCCTCTTGCTTTGCAGTCATGATGCTAGGCCACCAAAGGGATGGAAAACACAGAGAGGAGAATGGCTGCAGCCCTGGTGAGCACAAAAGCAGGTGGGTGGGTTTCTCCAGTCCTGTATCCAAAGTTTCGGGGGAT